CCCTTCCGATTTTTGCATTAACATCTCCTAGCAGAATTTTAATGTCATGGTCAGGGCAGCGATCATATGCTGTTTTTAGGCGCTCATAAAATATGTCTTTGGTCTGTTCATCTTTATCTTCGGTCGGAGCATGGGTGCAAATGAGACTGATGTAGAAGAACTTCGCTTTTATACGGATTATAGCAATTCGCTGATCTACTGAAGTGAATCTGGAGACGAGGTCTTTTATTCTCCTGTTAACCATACATCGGCAGCCAAATTCATGTCTCGTTTCATGGCAGCTATAACACAGGGCGTAATCATCTGATTTACTTACGCCAGTCCCTTTCCATCGCATTTCCTGTAGGGCAACAACACTCACGAAGTAACGGCTTTGTACTTCGTGAGTGCGCACATTCCAAGTGCAGATTCGCAGATCGTGGTCCTTTATACGTTCTGCGAATCTGGATGTCTGATTGAGATTACATTTTAAACAGTGCAGCATACCGAATAGCGTGTGTAGAGTTTGCTGTAAATCTATTCACAAAAATAGAATAGATAGGTTTACTTATAGATAAAGATCGCATATTTATGCTCTTTCAATTTCATGTTAATGTTCCTTCGAAAAGGTGACGTCTGTTAGGACACATATGTAGAATATGCCCGAAGTGGTGAAGGGTATCATTTAGTGGGCTCAGTCCGACTTTACTACTTTTCTTACCGGTTTAAAATTAATTTTTCAAGGTCCATGAGAGGCGTGGATTTTTTAAAATTAATGTTTTTTAAAGATTTTTTGAAAATAATTTCTCAAGATTGTTTAAAACTTATTTTAAAGAATATTTTTTCCAAGACCTATCTAAGGTGTGAATTTTTTAAGAAATTTTTTCCAAGGTCTATGGCGTGGATTTTTAAAGTAATTTTTCCTATAATAATATTCAAATAATATGCAAATATATTATTTGGTAGCTTTGCATAATTTAAATTTAATCTTATTATGGGCACATAATTTAATGTATCATATAAACTGTGATTAAAATCGGTTCAATTTTTTAAGAGAATTTTATTTATTCAAATTTAAATATTTGTTTTTAAAAAATGCTTAGAACTTGTATATTAATTTTGAAGATCACACTCAAAACCACCTACATAACAAATACACTGAAAAACGATCACTAAACTGTCTGGCCAATCATCATCCAAACCCGTAACAAGCTTAAACGAGTACGGCACCTATTGATTTTATTGTTATTGTTGTTGGTTTTTATTTATATGATCATCATAATTAATTGCTTAATTATGCTTTGGAAGAAATATGAAATAATAAGTTTGACGATATTCGATGAAAAGAAAAAAACCTAACACATTTGCTTAAACACACACAGCAAACCTGATGCACAGTGGGGCGATGGAGACTAAACTTAGATGGTCAGAAGTTTGGATTTTCTTCTCTCAGTCTTTGTAGAGCCATGGATGTTAGGAGGTTTCTATGGAGATACATTTTGATATACATAAATTGAAAATATGCAGATAGGTCCCTGAATTCCCAAACCATAAACAAATTAAAAAATTGTTTTGAATTTTTTTTAATATAAATAATTTAAAAAGAAATATTTTTGTACCTTCCAATGCAACACTGTTCACCTCCATTACCCCTTACCACCACCACACAACCCTATCTCCATCTAATTCACAACTTGTTTAGGGCTTCTCAAACACCCATTCAACACTCACAATCGCCCCTGTCGAATGATTTATGACATTGTGATTTTATTTTCGTGGTTATTAACAATTCATTGACAAGATCAAAACATAATTAATTTAATAAAAAAATATCAAATATTCAAAAAAAAAAAAGAAAAAAAAAGTATAAGATAAGACACATTTAAAACCTCATTTAATTCGATTCGTATCGAAATTAGGTGAGATATGCAGATTTTCTGACAAGATAACATTGACAACAAATTCGAGACATTTATATTTTTTATATCGATCGATCCCTATTGTTTAGTATTATGTTGAAATCCACGATTGGTAACATAAATTAATTTTGTTTATTATAAATAATTTTTAATTGAAGGGCGGAAATATAAATACAAAACCCATATATATAATAAATAATAAACTAAACACACAATTTAAAAACAAAAACAAGACATTTCATGAATAAGTAAACGAACGAATCGGATCGAACGTAAATTAAAAAAAAATAAATATGTTAAATCGAAAATTATTATTAATGCTGATATTGGTGAGTATTGAAATGGAATATATAAAAAATATATAATTTAGAAAATTCTTGACGATATTTTATTATGGAAAATAAGAATACCGATTTTTTACATATAGAGGACTTCTATCTATAGATCTCCTAATGCTTTATTGTGTCGGAATAAATGCTGTACCGGAACTCACCTTATAACATTTTTTTCTGAGGACTGAAATAGGCAAAGATTTTTTAAGTCAGAAGTCTATCCAAGGAGTAGGTTTTTAAATAATTTCTCGGGACCTAAAATAAGCGTAGATTTATTTAAATATATTTTTTAAGGCTAACCAAGGCATAGATTTCTTTAATTATTTTTTCAAGGCCTAATTAAGACGTGTTTACTTAGCTGGCTTGTGACAGAACATTTGTTCCATAGGCGGAGCTTAAAAACGATTTTCAGGCGAGCCGGTCTTGCGCGCAGCTCTTCCAATTTGAATGACCATGTTTTGATATGTCATCCTCTACATGATCTTTCCATCCAATTCAATGCCTTCCCTCTCTGCGTGAGCCATCAGTTAGTCGCTGCAACTCGATACCTCTGATATTGCCGATGTACGAGAATATATGGTACAACATATAGTTTATTCGATAGATCTTTCGGAGAAATTTTCTCTCAAACACTCCAAAAACTCCTCATCTGATTGGGCAAGTACCCTTTGCTTCAGATCCATACAATAGCACGGGTAGTATCAGCGTCTTGTAGAAACTGTTTCTAAACTGCTTATTTAGACCATAGTAGCATATGTTGGGCAACCCTATCCTTCTCCGAGTTTCAAAGATGATAAATAAAATCTTTGACTAGCTCGAAGCAGTATTTCTCAAGTTCCACAGTTGGTCCGAGTCTACTGGCCGTCTTGCGCGTCGTTACCATCAGATTGGTATGACCTTTTCCAGCAGGATGTTGAAAAGATCACACGACACGATCTGAATTCTCGTTCGGTATTGAAGGGCTCCGAAAGGTCCTTGCCGACTTTAACTGTTGATCTTGTCCCAATTAAAGTTATCCTGCATAGCCGTATTAATTTTGCAGGAATGCTGAACACAGATATGGCTTTAAATACCTCTGAACGGATAGGGCTGTCGAATGCGGTTTTATAGTCAAGTCAATGGTGGATTTGCCAGGTCTGAAGCCGCATTGGTCCAATAATACCATTGACGATTCGTTTCAGTCGTTCACACAGCAAGCTGGATAACACTTTATATGCGATGGAAACTGGACTTATTCCTCTATAGTTGGCACATATCAGGATGCTGTAGTTTCATCATTGGGCATGCATTCCAAATTGTACTACTGAACTGGTGCCTGCTCCTGACCAGCATCTGACCAATAGCCTTGAATAGTTCGGCTGGTAACCCATCAAAACCTGCGGCTTTATTATTCTTCAGCCGATTGATTGCTATTCTGACCTTATCTTGGTTATATCGCCATCTCTTATTGGTTCTGGGGCATCTTCTTCACCGCCATTTTTGATACCAGAAGCTTTTCAAAATGCTCCTTCCAGATCCACAACACGCTGTCTGCATCTGTATCCAGGATTCCTTTTTAATCTCTACAGAAGGATGTGCCTGAACCAAAGCCTTCGGTTTGGTGTTTTACTCCAGGCTATATTTCCACTTTTTTTCAAACAAGACACACCTCTATTTATTTCTTTACTAGGTTCGAAGCTAGGTTAGTTTCCAGTTTTAACTTCCAGCCTTTCATTTTCTTACCGACAAATCAACTAACCACTGAATTTCTTCCACTTTAGAGGCAGTCTTTCTTCCACCTTGGAAGTAGTATTTCTTTCTCCCAAGTGGCCATAATGATTCGGTGGAGATCTAAGCGGCAAGACCTCCATTCTTTTCAGATGAGGTGAGGACACTCAATTTCCTCACCTACAGTCCGTCGTTCTGGGTTTCAACCAACCTCAGAGTTTTCTCTAGTCCCATAAGAGTTTGTGTGATCCACACAGAGGTCACCATCCCCCACGATATCTCGTGAACTACAACGGCTGCAAGCTTATTACCTTCCCAAATAGGACTTCTCAACACAACCAGCCATCATCGTCTTGGTTGCCCTCAAACTACTTACAGTTTTCTGCTTCTTTGGATAGACTAACGTGGTTGACTTCATACGCGACGTAGGAATTCTTTCAATTACGAAGTCACTCGCAATGTTATTCGGATAATTCCGAGATAACTTCTGAATGAATTTGAGATTCATCTTTGTCAGAAGAAATTCCTTGTCGGTAATAAAGCCACTGTTCAGTCCAATAAACCCATAGTAAAAGTTAACTGCACTTCGGTAAATTGACGCGTTTGGTAGTGTCTTGTGCCGATGATTTATTCATCGTTTCGATGGGAAGGTCATCAGCACATGCCTCTATTTCAAAGGCCATTTGTTTTAAAAGTCTCGAGACTTCGCTGCGATGGAGTTGGAATTTTCATCCTCGCCAGGAAGACTTACCTTGATTTGGAGGATTCACTGGGATATCCATTGTGTTAATCACAGTGGTATCCATAGCACCTTCGCCGTCTGCCAAGGGTTTGTGATACCAGAGATGAGTGTGGATGCCTCTACTTCAAAGGTCAGCTGCCTCCACGCCCTGAAGATGGAGTTGGGATTTTAATCCTCGCCAGGAAGATTCCCCTAGATGTGGAGGAGTCAGTGGGATATGCATTGTGTAAATCACCGTAGTGTTAATCACAGTGGTATTCGTAGCGCTATCCCCGTCTGTCAAGGAATTGTGATCCCAAAGATGAGTGTGGTTTCCTCAATATGGTCAATGAAAAGGTCCGTATGAGTGACGGAGTTTGAAGAAGCAAAAGAATCTTCCGTAAATTGGCACTGGTTGTCATCGTTTGTGGAGGTTGATTTGGATCTGATTTTGTGGAGTTCGAGGCTGAGGTTGCCAAGGCAGCCACATCAACATCAGTCGAAGAATCGCATTCCATAACATATTTATTTTCTGAAGAAGGAGGAATAAGTTTAAAAGTCGGTTCCATAGAAAGTATTTTGAATAAAGACTTGAGGTCAGCTATGCCATAGCCTCTAACGACAGCTAAGCCTGAAGAAACTTGTTGAAGTTGATTAGGAACTGACCTTGTAAAGTTCGAGGTTGTGGATGCCAAGGAAACCACACCAACATCAGTCAAAAAATCGCATTCCGTTAACATATTTATTTTTTGAAGAAGAGGGGCGGCTCCATAGAAAGTTTTCGGAGTGAGGACTTGAGGTCAGCCATGGCATAGCCACTTACGGTTGCTACGCCAGTAAAAACTTGTAGAGGCGCGCAGGTATCATTAGGAGACCCTGACTGGGTATTAGGAGGCGACATTCTCGCCTCGTCGGTCATTTACTCCGAGACTCTCTTCCGTGACCCTCTCATTGTCCGCGATTATTTATTTATACTCACAGCTACCCAATGAATAATATTGGGCTTGCCAGTATCCCCAACCTGTGGACACGTCCGCTAACATTCAGCTCTGCTCTGAAGATTATTGAGTTTATTTATTCCAGGAATCTCGGAGGAATGCTTATCTCTTCAGTCAAGCATCTTGCACTAGATATTCTTCTCTGTTTCACACATTTTATTTTTAATTTCTTCTCTTTTTCATTTTAGGCAATTCATGCTGGTGGCATTGTCACCGGTTTATCGGCAAATAGCGGCGCTGTAGCATGTGGTGGTCTCTTATGTCGTCCTCTGACCGGACTCTATACACGTGATCCACTACCCGAAGATGCATATATACATGTGGCCATAATTCCAGCTGGAGCTTCGAATATTTCTATAACTGAATTGAAGAATAGCATGAATTTGTTGGGTAAGTAGGGGATTTTTTTCATTAAAAATTTGAGGTTATGTCAATTTGTTTTCTCTTTTCTTCTACCTCTGTTTAGTGCTACGTACTGAAGATCAGAAATATGTTTTCAATGGCGATAACACAATGTCGGAAAGTGGTGTATACGAGGCTGCTGGTGCCGTCTTCGATTATCATCGTTTGGATAGTTTACAGGAACAAAGTGAAGGTGTTACCGAATGGGTAACGTGTACCGGCCCCATTCGAGAGAGTTTGGAATTGATGGTGAGTAGAAAAGAGGTTTCACTCCACGGAGAATATACGTGTCGAACCCAAATTACGTAGACTTTGACTCCATCTGTGAATAGAAAGAAAGGAATTGAAAACAAAATTGTATTTTTGTATTTTTTACAGATCTACAGTAAAACCGTTAACCCTGGTATTAAATACGAATACCTGCTACCGATTACTTCCGACTCCGAAGAAAATGAGGTGTCCGTGGAAACTGATGGCTTTTTGAAGTCGGCCAATGATGAAGCCATTATCACGGCCAATCGTCCGGTGCGTAAACGTCGTTATAACTGGAAAGTTGTAGGCTTCAGCGCTTGCTCAAAGTCCTGCGGAGGAGGTATGCAATCACCGATTGTAAAATGTGTGCGCGAAAATCCCTTGCGTTATTATTCACAGCGTAGATGTGCCCATTCCGAGAAGCCCATCATAAATGAAAATCTCCTGAGATGTAACACGCAACCCTGCCCCGCTTTTTGGCGTCTAGAAGATTGGGGAGAATGTCGCTGCCATCATGGAGAGGCTGGAGTGAGGGAACGAGAGATTAATTGTGTTCAAGAATTGGCATCCGGCGTTGTGGTACATGTTGATGCCGCCGCTTGTATGGAAGAGAAGCCAGTGGCTAAGAAACCCTGTGATTGTCCCAAGAATAGACATCGTAGCAATAATGCTCGTTATCGCATGCATGGTCTCAGCCCCAATGCGGCTCACTCGAATAATAAAACGAATCGTGATAAGGCTGGCATATGGCTAATGTCCGATTGGAATCAATATTGTTCGTCGGAATGTGGTCCAGGCACAGAATATCGTACCGTCTATTGTGATCGTACTAAATCGAATCCGGAAAGATGTGATATAAGAAATGCTCCGGAGACAACAAGGATATGTGATCGTGAGGAATCATGTGATACGGGAGAATGGTTTGCCGGGCCATGGTCACCCTGCAATGGTAACTGTTTCAATTTGACCCGTAGTCGACAGGTTTTGTGTATTGAAAATCAATTGATTTTGGAGGATGATGAATGTAAGCCGGAATTGAAACCCACCACGGTGGAGAAATGTTCCCACGAAGAGGTGGAATATTGTGGACCCAGATGGCATTATTCGGAGTGGTCGGAGGTAGGGAGAAAGGGCTTGCAATTTATTTTTTGGAACGTTTGGCTAATTTATTTTTTGTTTTCTATGTTATTTTAGTGTACCAAAACCTGTGATGGCGGCACCCAAAGACGTTCGGTGAAATGTTTGGAATACAATGAACAGGAAAATGCCCTGAAGGAGTCCAATAAATGCCGTTATTCCATTCGGGAGCCAATATATAGGAGCTGTAATACCCACAAATGTGAAGGTGGGTGGAGAGAGATTTTTTGAAATATTTTATAAAAATGTTATTCCACTTTTCTTTCCAGATCTCCGCTATGAACAATTGCAGAATGATGATGCCATTGTCCTGCCCTGCACCGATGTCTTTACCAACTGTGCGTGGGCCGTCAAGGCCAAGCTATGCAGCTATGAGTATTATAAGCAAAAATGTTGTTATTCTTGTAATTAAGTCATAGGAGATAAAGAGAATATAGAAGAGAGGACAAAGGAGAGGAGAGAAAGAACAAAACGAGATTGCTACTCTTTTGGCAGACTTTGAAAGCTTAATTGAGAGAATCACATGTTTTTGGGAGAGAGAAAGTAATTACTCTCCCAAAAAAATTTGCTTCTCTTACCTCAGCTTCCACCGTATGTCAAAAGAGTAAAAGAATGGGAGAGAGTACAGTGTTGCCATCCTACAAAGACTACACTGCCTCGGCACACTCAGCAAAAAACTATAGTAATTGTTCACAATCAAACAAGAAGAGAGCAAGCGGAGAGTAAAAATTGTGTAATTTAATAAATTCTATTTTTTTAAATATAAGTTTATTTTTATGACATTTATATTTTTTAATGATAATAATTTAATGCGACCAATCGAATAGTGAAAATGTTTTTTTTTATGAAAGAAAAAAATACAAAATCAACAAAAAATACTTATGTTAAGAAAAAATTATTTTTGTATTCTTATATATGAAGACATGTTAAATTAAATCAAATAATAATATACAAAAAAAATATTTTAAATAAAAAAGAGGCACTACTAATAAAACGAAAATAAAATTAAAAATATTTTTTGAAACTAAAAACTTTAAATAAAAAAATAAATAAAAAATGTACGTACGTGTTTTGATTTTTAAAATTAACTTGAAAATTAGTTTAGAAAATTATTAAAAAAATCCACGCCTTATGTATGACTGGAAAAAAATTATTAAAAAAATCCACGCCTTAAATGGACCCTTGAAAAAATTATTTAAAAAATTCACGCCTTAAATAGACCTTTGAAAAAAATTATTTAAAAAATCCACGCCTTAAATAGACCTTTGAAAAAAATTATTTAAAAAATCCACGCCTTAAATAGACCTTTGAAAAAAAATATTTAAAAAATCCACGCCTTAAATAGACCTTCAACAAAAAATATTTAAAAAATCCACGCCTTAAATAGACCTTTGAAAAAAAAATATTTAAAAAATCCACGCCTTAAATAGACCCTAGAAAAGATATTCTTTAAAAATCCATGCCTTAAATAGACCCTAGAAAAAAATATTTAAAAAATCCACGCCTTAAATAGACCCTTGAAAAAATTATTTAAAAAATCCACTCCTTAAATAGACCCTTGAAAAAATTATTTAAAAAATCCACGCCTTAAATAGACCCTTGAAAAAATTATTTAAAAAATTCACGCCTTAAATAGACCTTTGAAAAAATTATTTAAAAAATTCACGCCTTAAATAGACCTTTGAAAAAAAATATTTAAAAAATCCACGCCTTAAATAGACCTTTGAAAAAAAATATTTAAAAAATCCACGCCTTAAATAGACCTTCAACAAAAAATATTTAAAAAATACACGCCTTAAATAGACCTTTGAAAAAAAAATATTTAAAAAATTGACGCCTTAAATAGACCCTTGAAAAAATTATTTAAAAAATCCACTCCTTAAATAGACCCTTGAAAAAAATATTTAAAAAATCCACGCCTTAAATAGACCTTTGAAAAAAATTATTTAAAAAATCCACGCCTTAAATAGACCTTCAACAAAAAATATTTAAAAAATCTACGCCTTAAATAGACCTTTGAAAAAAAAAATATTTAAAAAATTGACGCCTTAAATAGACCCTTGAAAAAATTATTTAAAAAATCCACTCCTTAAATAGACCCTTGAAAAATTTATTTAAAAAATCCACGCCTTAAATAGACCCTTGAAAAAATTATTTAAAAAATCCACGCCTTAAATAGACCCTTGAAAAAATTATTTAAAAAATCCACGCCTTAAATAGACCCTTGAAAAAATTATCCACGCCTTAAATAGACCCTTGAAAAAATTATTTAAAAAATCCACGCCTTAAATAGACCCTTGAAAAAATTATCCACGCCTTAAATAGACCCTTGAAAAAATTATTTAAAAAATCCACGCCTTAAATAGACCCTTGAAAAAATTATCCACGCCTTAAATAGACCCTTGAAAAAATTATTTAAAAAATCCACGCCTTAAATAGACCCTTGAAAAAATTATTTAAAAAATCCACGCCTTAAATAGACCCTTGAAAAAATTATTTAAAAAATCCACGCCTTAAATAGACCCTTGAAAAAATTATTTAAAAAATCCACGCCTTAAATAGACCCTTGAAAAAATTATTTAAAAAATCCACGCCTTAAATAGACCCTTGAAAAAATTATTTAAAAAATCCACGCCTTAAATAGACCCTTGAAAAAATTATTTAAAAAATCCACGCCTTAAATAGACCCTTGAAAAAATTATTTAAAAAATCCACGCCTTAAATAGACCCTTGAAAAAATTATTTAAAAAATCCACGCCTTAAATAGACCCTTGAAAAAATTATTTAAAAAATCCACGCCTTAAATAGACCCTTGAAAAAATTATTTAAAAAATTCACGCCTTAAATAGACCTTTGAAAAAAAATATTTAAAAAATCCACGCCTTAAATAGACCTTTGAAAAAAAATATTTAAAAAATCCACGCCTTAAATAGACCTTCAACAAAAAATATTTAAAAAATACACGCCTTAAATAGACCTTTGAAAAAAAAATATTTAAAAAATTGACGCCTTAAATAGACCCTTGAAAAAATTATTTAAAAAATCCACTCCTTAAATAGACCCTTGAAAAAAATATTTAAAAAATCCACGCCTTAAATAGACCTTTGAAAAAAATTATTTAAAAAATCCACGCCTTAAATAGACCTTCAACAAAAAATATTTAAAAAATCTACGCCTTAAATAGACCTTTGAAAAAAAAAATATTTAAAAAATTGACGCCTTAAATAGACCCTTGAAAAAATTATTTAAAAAATCCACTCCTTAAATAGACCCTTGAAAAATTTATTTAAAAAATCCACGCCTTAAATAGACCCTTGAAAAAATTATCCACGCCTTAAATAGACCCTTGAAAAAATTATTTAAAAAATCCACGCCTTAAATAGACCCTTGAAAAAATTATCCACGCCTTAAATAGACCCTTGAAAAAATTATTTAAAAAATCCACGCCTTAAATAGACCCTTGAAAAAATTATCCACGCCTTAAATAGACCCTTGAAAAAATTATTTAAAAAATCCACGCCTTAAATAGACCCTTGAAAAAATTATCCACGCCTTAAATAGACCCTTGAAAAAATTATTTAAAAAATCCACGCCTTAAATAGACCCTTGAAAAAATTATTTAAAAAATCCACGCCTTAAATAGACCCTTGAAAAAATTATTTAAAAAATCCACGCCTTAAATAGACCCTTGAAAAAATTATTTAAAAAATCCACGCCTTAAATAGACCCTTGAAAAAATTATTTAAAAAATCCACGCCTTAAATAGACCCTTGAAAAAATTATCCACGCCTTAAATAGACCCTTGAAAAAATTATTTAAAAAATCCACGCCTTAAATAGACCCTTGAAAAAATTATCCACGCCTTAAATAGACCCTTGAAAAAATTATTTAAAAAATCCACGCCTTAAATAGACCCTTGAAAAAATTATCCACGCCTTAAATAGACCCTTGAAAAAATTATTTAAAAAATCCACGCCTTAAATAGACCCTTGAAAAAATTATTTAAAAAATCCACGCCTTAAATAGACCCTTGAAAAAATTATTTAAAAAATCCACGCCTTAAATAGACCCTTGAAAAAATTATTTAAAAAATCCACGCCTTAAATAGACCCTTGAAAAAATTATTTAAAAAATCCACGCCTTAAATAGACCCTTGAAAAAATTATTTAAAAAATCCACGCCTTAAATAGACCCTTGGAAAAATTATTTAAAAAATCCACGCCTTAAATAGACCATTGAAAAAATTATTTAAAAAATCCACGCCTTAAATAGACCATTGAAAAAATTATTTAAAAAATCCACGCCTTTAATAGACCCTTAAAAAATCCACGCCTCTGTTGGCCATCACAATCCTTCTCCGAATTTCAAAACTGATGTCATTCGTTTTTTTTTTATGGCGGTATCAAGGTATATAAAATCTTTAACTACCTAGAAGCTGTAGTTGTCAAGTACCACAGTTGGTCAGAGTCCACTGGACGTCTTGCGCGTTGATAAAATCAGCTTGATCTTCTCGCCGTTTACTGTCAGACCCACTTTGGTAGACTCCTTCTCAATTTGTTCAAATGTGGCTATTACCGCTCGCAATGTTCAACCCATTATATCGATGTCATCGGCGTAGGTGAGTAACTGATGTTGTTTGGTGTACAGAGTGCCATTTCTGTTCACCTTTGCGTCTCGTACAACCTTTTCCAGCAGAATGTTAAAAAGATCACACGACAAACTGTCACATTGTCTGAATCCTCGTTCGGTATTGAAAGGCTCCGATAAGTCCTTTCCTACTTTAACTGCTGACCTTGAGCCACATAAAGTTATCCTGCATAGCCGTATTAATTTTGCAGGAATGCCGAGCATAGACATGGCTTTAAACACCTCTGAACGGATAGGGCTGTCGAATGAGGCTTTATAGTCGACGAATAGGTGGAATGTGTCGATGTGTCACCGGGTTTCTTTATTCATCTGTACAGGAGGATGTGCCTGAACCAAAGCCTTCAGTTTGGTGTTTTACCCGTTGATAGAATTTTCGGACTTCATTCTGACTCCTGTACATCTCGATTTGCTGACGCTCCCGTATTTCTTGTTCTTTATTATTTTTTCTGAAAACACGTTTCTCATCTCTCCTCTTCCCCTGATAGTTCTCCATCGCATTACGTGTTGCTACTGTCCGCAGTGTTGCCCTATACGCTGCGTTTTTCACGCTCGGATTTCTTGATGGTGGTCTTTGGTACCCGAGTGTTGCTTTTGGTGCAGTTCGTAGGGAGTGGGCAATTCTCTGCCACTGTGCTTCTATACTATTATCGGGACAAGAAGTGTTTTCGTCAAGCATTTGGGTAAGTTGAGCGGATTATGCCTCGGCTACCTGTTGTGATTGCAGCTTTTCGACATCAAATTTCCGTGTTGCATTAGATCGCACCTTT